TGTTTTCATCTTCTTCAAACATATACCCAGGAGTGAAATCGCTGGATCACATAGGAGTTCTGTTTTTAGTTTTTTGAGGACCCTCCACACTATTTTCCATAGTGGCTGCTCCAATTTACATTCCCACCACAAAGTACAAGTGTTTCCTTTTCTCCACATGGCTGCCAACGTTTTTTATTTGTGTTTTTTTGATGATGGCCATTCTGACAGGTGTGAGGTGGTACCTCGTGGTGGTTTTGATTTGCATTTCTTTGATGATTAGCGATATTGAGCATCTTTTCATGCGGTTGTTGGCCATCTGTCTGTCTTCTTTGGAAAAATGTTTATACAGTTCTTCTGCCCACTTTTTAATCGGGTTGTTTGTTTTTTTTCGATATTGAGTTGTATGTATGAGCTGTTTATATATTTTGGATCTTAACCTTTTATTAGTCATATCATTTGCAAGTATTTTCTCTATAGCATTTCTTAATTATGGGGCGTACAACTAGGTATAAGTCCTTATGCCTACAGTTATACAAATCTGGAAATTAAGTTAACAAACCACATTTACAAATGTATAAATTAAAAGCAAACAAACTACAGTATCAACAATATTGAAATAGGCTTATTTTAATGTGAGAGATGATATCATTTGCCGAAACAAAATCACCCTTCAGGACACGAATACGGTACCAGTGATGGCTTTTGTCTTGGGGAGGTGTAGACCACTGCATAATTTGTGATAACTCAAACCAAACACATTTCTTTTTCTGAACCACAGACAAACCTTCATTTATGAGGCATACTAGGATGTCACTTTCCTTCACTAAAATTAACATCATTTGTTGCCTGTCAGTCCAACTCTGTTCTTTACTTATTCGTCCCAAACAATTAAAGTAGAACTAGTCCCATAACACATAAACAAAAGTATGATTGAAAATATCTCTGGTGGTCCTCAGATAAAAAGTGGTCATTGCATTTGTCAAAACCCCTACGGGTAAGGGAGGGATGGATTAGGAGTTTGGGATTAGCAGATGCAAACTATTATACAGAGAATGGATAAGCAACAAGGTCTTACTGTACAGCACAGGGAACTATATTCAATATGCTATGATAAGCCATAACGGAAAAGAATATGAAAAAGAATGCGTATATATAACTGAATCACTTTACTGTAGAGCGGAAGTTAACACAACATTGTAAATCAACTATACTTCAATAAAATAAATTTAAAAAGTAAAATCCCTAGAATGTACAACACAAAAAATGAACCCTAGCAGTAAAGCATGGACTTTAATTAATAATAATGTATTGATATTGGCTCATCAACTGTAAAAAACATGCTACACTGATATATTAATCATAGGGAAATCGGAGGTGGAGGGGTTAGGGGGTATGAGGTATGTCTAAACTTTTCACTCAGTTTTTCTGTAAACCTAAAGGAGCTCATAAACAGAAAGTTTACTAATGAGAAAAAAGTGGTCACGGTGGCATGTTTACATATTAATTCTCTTTCAATTGTCCAAATAAAACAACAAAAATTTGCAGATCTTGTTTAGAACACTTAGACCTCCAAAAATATGTCTGTGCGTTCTAGGTTCCTCACCATGGTTCAAAAAGTGCTGAAATCGGGGGTTTAGGAATGGAATGGGGTATTCTGAAAAGTTGCTAGAGCTCTTTCTTCAAAGTGTTCCAGAAAATGCCTGCAAGGTCACCTTTCAGAGACGTTCTTCTGGGGATATTTGCTTTGGGAGAGAGGTCAGAACACATGATCTCTAATTCCAAGATTATATAATTCCAGTTTTTATGAAGATTTAACCCCGAATTAATCTGCTTTTAGCTCTGCTTTTCACAGACTTCAGTGACCCAATGCCAGAGCTATAATATGCTTGAACCTGCAGCTTTCTAAGTCTTTCTCCTAATTCCCACAACCCTGTCCAAATAGCAACAATTTCATTTAGGCCATCCAGTTGTCAATTTTTGGTCCTGGGAAAGAAAAACTAATAAACCCCACTTCATTCCAGCAAACCCAGATCACATTCCTTTCCGATGGCCTACCGCATTCCACTCCGAGCTAAGTACCATAGTTCTAGCTCTGCTTGACAACTTCGGGCAATTCATTTCCTAACTGTTCTCTTAGAGAAACCCTAGAAAACCTTTTTATTTCATGATTCCCTATGGAAAATATTTCCTTCCATGAATCTGAGGCTAGGATAGATCTGCAAAGGACTCCTGTAATTCTAAACTTTTTAAAAAAAATCCACTTTTTATACTTTATTGAATTCACATGTGTACATCTTTGTTTAGTTTTAGCAAACGGCATTGGCATATTAGAAGTTGTAACATCATGGGCACTGAGTAAGTAAAAACCCTTCTGCAAAGTGTTCATTGGGTCTGAATATTTAATTTCGCTTGGGGTAGAATAGTTTTCCATTTGAAAGTAAGGAAGCTGGATCCTAGTCATAAAAGTGGGTGTCTAAGGGAGGAGTAGACACCCAGGTTTTCTGGTTCCCATCTGTCTCTCTCTCCCCTGCCCCATTACATCAGAGTTCTCACACTTCTGATTTGGGACTGCCAGAGAGGATGGCTGGCTGAGAGGCATGGCTTTTCATCGCCACCTACCGTCTACTCCAAGAACTGCATTAATATTTCAGACATCCCAGTCCCAAATCCATGAGTGGAGACAACTCTCCCAACCGCAGAAAGAAGAAATGTATTGGAATAGAAAGAAAGAATAAAATGCAAGAGCAAGCGAACAAAGATTCTGGGGAATCTGAAAAATGAGGCACCAAGGAAAACCTGTCTCTATCTCTATTTTGATATTTCCAAAAGGGAACCCTTATTTATAAAAGGTTACAATCAAACTCCAACAGGTTGGAATAAGGTGATGTTTCCAGTGCAATAAGATCTAGTAATTATTCTCACATTGACTTAAAAGCAGTTATTTGATAACATATTTATTGAGCGATGTAAATACCCCTGTTTTTATAATTGCTATCCCTGTGTGTTCCTTGTCCGAAAGCTATTACAAGGTTAGCATCAAGATATTTTTGAACACAGTAACAATCTAAAAAAAGACAAAACATGCCTCCCTGATGTGTTGAGATTCTTCTTTTTTCACTTCAGTGGTCATTTTTTTTTTCATACTTTCACCAGTTTCAGGAAAGGGTGGGTTAGAGTCAGGGGCTTCCTGAAACTTTTCAGAACAAGAATTCTAATTCAGTGTGTTTAGAGGGGCCCCCTGAGAATCGTGTTTTGGAACATACCAACCCCATGTGGTATTATCTTTGCCAATTTTGCAGTTTCGTGTGAGATTTATTTTTAATCTTTAACAAAGCATGCCCGTGTTTATCTTAAGTTATGAAAAAGTGTAACCGTTTAAAACAAAACTTTTAAAAATAATTAAATATACAATGAATGCTGAAACATAAAAGTCAGACAGAATGTTACCTTAACAAGAAAGAGCTTCCTAAAGATCAAAGGATTGTTGTTTGTTCTATTTGCTAAAGACAAGTAACAAGTACTTTCACTTTAAGGGATTCGGTGGCTATTTGAAGGAGGCTAGAAGTCTCCATTGCCCGACCCCAACAAGATAAACGCTTCCCACCCCTCACATTCACAGAGCTGGAAAATTTACTTATTGACGCTAAAAATATATACTTCGTGTTTAGAATGGAATGCTGAGATTTGATTGAAGGCAGTACATGAATCAAGCCAATGGCATTTGGGGGGCACGTCTTTCAATCTTATTTAAAATTATGGGGGAGAGACAATACTTTGGGCTTTCCTTTATTTTGTGTATGGGCAACATGTAATCAGTGCAGCACTGTGTAGGAATTAACTGAACGGGCTTCTGTACCCATCATGGAATGCAGCTGCTTCCAAGTTCAATGCACCTCTCATGTTGTGTTGATTCGATGCTACCTTTAATAAAGAAGGGAAGAAATGGGCTTTTAGAGCATGAAAGCCCCTTTTTCCTAAGTACCTACAGATCTGGGTTTTCTTTAAGTCAGTAATACTAGTTAAGTCACTTAGGGACCGACACGTCAGAATAGGGTAAGATGGAAATACACTCTCAGTTCAATTGGGGGTGGCCGGTAAGAGATGAGTTTGTATAATGGTGGTCCCTACTTTTATGCGGCCATTGTGATCAGTCGAAGCAACTTTAGATGGTGCAACAACAGGCTGTTTCCCATCTGCAGAGGTGAGCCCTACCAAATGCTGCAAAAACACTACTCAAAGAGAAACGACGGTTCTTCTCATTTATCTCCTGTGTGTCCTCTCCAAAGAGCTTCAAAATATGCTCGCTATTTTTTATGAAAGCTTCCAACTAATATTTATTTTGCACGTGGCTAGATGGTGATTTCTGTTTTTTTATGGCATTGTGGCTGAATTTTCTACCCAGGAAGTAGAGCAAAATGCTAAGAACTTGAGCTCTAGAGCCTTACAAACTGATTCTGTCACTGGCTTAGGAGATCTGGGCAATGAAGTTTCCTAAGCCGTAATTTGCTCATTTGCAAAATGGCAAATGTTAACAGGAATGAACTTGAAAGGTTTGAACATAGGTCGGGGGCTCAGCACAGGGCCTGGCATTCTGTGGTAACTGTTGTTAAAATCACTTGTAAGTGATTTAGGGGTCGTGTCCAAGACCCTCAATCACTTACAAGAAGCCTAAAAGATGTTAGACAGTAGTTGAGGGAAATCCCACACCACCTCTCTTTTCACCTCGGCTCCTTTCTGCTATAGTCTCACTGAACGATCTGAAGTTCTTACCAGGGTGCTCCTCAGGGGGCAGTCCACAGCCTCATGCCGCGAGGGGTCAAAGAATGAAGAAGGTCCTGCAGGGAAGACAGTGACCCCGACAAATGCAGACATGACAGAACATTCATACTGAAGAGGGTTTTGTTGGTCCAATCATTCTTCAGAACCCTACCTGGGACTGAATTTAACCGCAGTGTGTGATAAATATCCCATGACTCTGGGAAATCTTACAGAAAACAAACAAACAAAAAAACCCTCTCATGGTTGGGAGAGCAGTAATGCAAATATTCCGAACACCAGACACTCCCCAAATCATGGTTTAGGAATGCAATGAATCAGCAAATTACTTTGTTTTGCTTAGTTTACTTTAATGGGCGGCATTATGGCAGAATGGTGAAGTCAAGAAGCTCGGTTGTTATTGTTGTTTTAAAAATTACTTCATGGTATTGTCATTAGTAATTGTTTGTGATTGCTGATTGACAGTTTGTAATTACAAACCCATCAGAACAGCTGGAAAGGTAGTTCATACCTGTGAGAGATAATAAGTTTTAAAAGTATTGAAGACAGGGCAGGGGACTAGTTATTTTAAAAGGGAGGAAATAGGATAAATTATTTGGGATAGACTAATTCTGTTATATCAGGTTTCCAAGAGAGTTGTTTTTGGTTTGCAGAAAGACTTGAGCTTGGATCCTATCAAATATGTTTCATACATAGGTTTCTATTTAGTTTCCAATTGACTGAATAAGTGATTTTTTAAAACCCTTCCTTTCATCCACAGCATGATTAACATTAATATTTGGACTAGGTCTACAATGCTTTTCCTAAAGTTGATTTCATAGTTCCTTTGCAATTCTGGATTCGGAAAAGCTTTGGCCTGAGTATGGCTGACTCAGTGAAGGTAGACTGTGCTATGAGATGGCCCTGCCGTATCTTTATTGGAATGTTTTTTATAGTCACATCCTGATATGCAAATTATTGGTGAGTAGACACTTGTAGCCCCAATTCCATAACTCTACCACAAAAATAGAATTTCAGACTCTGTCAATATGAACATCATCTAGATAAAACTATATCTAGGTCTTCCGTGACAAGTTTTATGATTCAGTGCTTTGTTTCTATATACTAAAGTTAGAAACTCAGAGTGACTCACTTTTCTTTTTTGCATGCATCTAAGTGAACAAGGAAGTTAGACTGCTTCTGGTGTTGCTTTCTTTAAAAGAAAAAAAAAAAGACATGCTCCTTCTCAAGTATCCTTTTTAGGTCAGCAATTTTGAAGTGCAAGACTTATTGGTATCCAAGCGGAAAGGGCTGATGCTCTGATTTATCACGACTCCCTCTGAGTGGAGTTCTTCCATGGCTGGAGAAAGGAAGACATTTGTTGTACTAATACTGAATCTGCTTCCTGTGTAAAACAACCTTTAACTCTGCGGAGATCCCCCATTTTAATGACTAGGACATAGTGGAAATAGAAGGAAATCCAAATACCCCACTGGCAGCCATTCTGTTCCCCAGCAGGTCAAGCTGCAACCCTCCTCAGGACAGAAATGGTTGCTTGGGGAGGGTTCGGCTGGGCTGCTGTTTCTTCTATTTTAAGATATGACCATTTTGATTGTTTAAAGATGTGTATGACACTCTGACCCATTAAGAAGCCTGGGCTCTGTCGATCAGGGATCATGAGGTGGGTGGGCCTGGAGAATTCGGGAGGGAATCTTGTCAACTATAGGACCAGCTCTCAAACCCCAAGCCAGACTGCAGCTTCATTTCTTCATTACAGAAACATGACTGAGTCTATGGTGACTGCCATGACCATCGGAACTTCTCTTTCCGTGTAGAACCTGAAGTGGGATTCCCTACACTGAACGAGGTGAAAACCCGGCAGTGTTCAACTAGAGAAACAAGCTTTTCAAGTATATTTGAATTTTTGCAGTAAAGTAGCCCAGCTCTTTAGATTCTGGGAGAGTATGCCTGCGTGATGGGGAAAGGAGGTTAATAAATGCTTTCAGAGCTTCCCTGGAGCGCGGGCACTACGTGTCCTACTGCAGTACACAATCACGTTCTGTCTCAGGAAACCACACCTGAATAATGCAGTCGGTATTCCCAGAATGCAGTTAGCACTGGATGAACAGGAGAGCTTCCCACAGGTCAATCAATGGCATCTCTGCTTCCAGCTCACTTGCAGATTGCTCCTTCTCAAAAGACATGTCTACTTTCTAAAAGACAGCTGAGCTGATTGGGAGAGAGAAGAAGAGTAAAGGGGACCAGATGTTTTGATCTCTCTCTCATCCTCTATCTCACTCTCTCCTTCCTCCTCATCCCCACTTATACCTGCAACTCCCTCAAGCCAGATCTTCTGATTAATCTGGATTTTCATCTGTTTTGCCTCCTCCTCCCTAAGAATGAATGATTTGTCTCAGTGAGTACAGACCAAACCTGATGAAATAGGAGTCATGTATTTCACATGTCTTAGACTGCATTTCTGGTTCCTAAAACTCCAGCTAAGTCTGACAAGCTATGGTGTAGTAGAAGAAACACTGACTGGTACTTTAGCAGGTTATTTGATATTAGTTTGTCTTTTTTTTAAAATTGATCTGTAGGTCAGCTATAGGTTTTTGATGAAAAATTCTTAAATATAATCAAATTTATCAATATTTTCAGAAATTTTCAAACACAAAACACAGATTTCTCCAAGTACATGATCCAAAATGATCAGTAGTCATTTGAAAAATGTTACTGAGCACTTACTCTGTTACAATGTTTGTTGCACTTCACAGGAGAAATAAAGGATCATGTTTTAAGATTAATTTTGAATGTAACAGAATACCTGACTAAAGAGTATACATTAAGTAAAAAGGCAATTATTTTCCTACTATAGCATGAAGCCTAGAGATAGGCAATTCAGTGCTCAGTGAGGTTACCAAGGACATGGATTCTTTCTCTTCAATTTCTCCATTCTTGTGTTTGTAACCTCATAATTTGAAGGTGATTCTCACAGCTCCAGATCTCATAACTGTGTTCAAAGGAGGTGGTGGCAGTGGGCGGAAGGATAGCCAAGGGTAAATGTGACTTTTTTTGAGTGTCTCCCCTGTTTTAGCACAGAAATATGCCTAACAAATTTCAGGCAGGATATATAAAAAGGCTTTCACACCAAGACACATTGTGGTCAAATGCAGACAAAGGGAAAATCTTAAAAGCAGTTAGAGAGAGAAATACAGACTATTCACAGAGGAATAACAGACTTTGGGCATACTTATCAAAAGCAATATGGATTCCAGAAAGTAGTGAAATAATATCTTCAAAATGCAGAGTGAAAATAACTAACAACCTAACTTTCTATACACAGCAAAACTATCTTTCAAGAATGAGGGCAGGGCTTCCCTGGTGGCACAGTGGTTAAGATCCGCCTGCCAGTGCAGGGGACACGGGTTCGAGCCCTGGTCCAGGAAGATCCCACATGCCACGGAGCAACTAAGCCCGTGTGCCACAGCTACTGAGCCTGCGCTCCAGAGCCCGTGAGCCACAACTACTGAAGCCCGTGCGCCTAGCGCCCGTGCTCCACAACAAGAGAAGACACTGCAATGAGAAGCCTGTGCACTGCAACGAAGAACAGCCCCCGCTCGACACAACTAGAGAAAGCCTGCGTGCAGCAATCAAGACCCAATGCAGCCAAAAATAAACTAAAAAAAAGACCCAATGCAGCCATAAATAAATAAATAAATTTATATATAAAAAAAAGAATGAGGGCAAAATAAAAACAGTTTTTTACAAACTACAAAATGAGAGTTTACTATCACTCACCAGAGAAATTTCTATAGGATGTATGTCAGGATGAAGAAAACTCATCCCAGAAAGAAGGTCAGAGATCCAAAATAGCAAAGAAAATGATGAATACATGGGTAAATCTAAACAATCACTGGCTGTGTTAAATAACTGTAATAATGTCTTAATTATGGGGTTAAGAAATAATATAGAATCAAAATGCTAGTAAAAAATGGCATATAAGTAGGAAGGAGATAATAGAAATAAGGCATTCAAACGTCTGTACTTTGCTCAAGAGGGTAAAACACTAACTTAAGACATTAAATTACACATTTGGTTAGTTATACACTTTACTTAATTACACATACACATATGTATATTAAAAAGTCTAGGACATCCCATAAAATATAAAAAAACCAAAGGTATAAGTGCTAAACAAATAAAGGGAAAAAACAGATTAAGAGGAAACAGATAAGAGAAAAATAAAACATGAAACTTAATCCAAAAAAAAATTCAAGGAGATAAAAAAAGAATATAGAAAAAGTAGAACAGAATTCATAAAATATGGTAGAAATGGAATCCAAATATATTAAAATAAGAATAAGGGTAAGTGGACCAAATTTTTTATCAGATTGGATAAAAAGCAAGATCTTGCTACATGTTGTTTATGAGAGAGACATAAAACAAATAAGTTCATAAATGAGTTGAAAGTAAAAAGATAGAAAGACATTTAATAAATACTGACCAAAGAAAAACTTGTGTGAATATATTATCAGATAAGTAAAAAATACCTTAAGGTAAAAAGCAATACTAGAGATAGAGGTTCATTACCTATTGAGGAAGGTCCAATTCATTAGGGAGATGGAAACAATTCTACACTTGCATACTTCTAATAGCATAGCTTCAAAAAATAGCTAGCAAAAAATGACAAAACAAGAAAAAGAAACGGACAAATACACCATTACTGAGGTAGAATTTAACAAGTCTTTGTCAGAAGTTGACAAGATAAAAATATCAGTAAGAATATGAATGATTTGACCATCACAAGAAACAAACCAGGTCTAATGAACATATGCAGATGCCTGTACCCAGCAACTAGAGAATACACTTCTGTTCACAGGAACAATTATAAAAACTGACAATATACTAGCCCACAGAGAAAATCTCAACAAATGTCAAAGAATCACTATCTCATAGACCAGTCTCTGACCATTACACAATTAATAACAAAAACAAAAAGACTTGGAAATTTAAAAGCACAAATCTAAATTGTTCATGGGACAAAAGAAAAAGCAAAGGGAAATTAGAAAATACTTAGAACCAACAATAATGATTATATAGGAAAGCTTGTGAGATACAGCTCAAGTGGTAGATGGAGGAGGTGAATAGCTTTATAATACTTACATTAATAAAAAAGTTGAAATTACAAAAAGAACCCCCCAAATCTAAATAAAATTGAATAAAGGAAATAATTAAAAATAAGAGCAAAAATTAACAAAACAGAAAACACATTCAATAGAAAGGATCAACAAAGCAAAATGTTGGCTCATTGACAAAATTTTAATAAAACTGACAAACCTTTAGCAAATTAATGAAGAAAGAGAAAAAGCAGGTAAAATTTTAAGAATGGAAAAGGAAGTCAAAAATATAACAGAAATTACCCAGATAAAACATTACAAGCAATTTAGCAATAAATCTTAAAACTTAAGTAAAATGGAGAAATTCCTGGCAACATAAATTTACAAAACTGACTTAAGAAGAAATTGTAAATCTGAAATTTAAAATATAAGGGCTGATACTTAGCTTATATGCAACTGTATGATCATACAGTTTGCTTAGGGCCAGGGTCATTTCTGATTGATTAGTGCAACCATCCTAATTGGTTAAGTAATTTGATTACCACCTAGCCTATAATCATTTATAAAATTTTATCAGTAGTTAAAATTTTTCCCACAGAGAAAATTTTTCCCACACCAGGGCCAGGCAGTTTTATAGGCAGACGTACCAAGATTCGAGGAATGGATAATTCCAATCTTAAACTCTTTCAGAGAATATAAAAGGAGGAACATCTCCTAACTAATTTTATGAGTCTAGTATAACTTTAGACAAAAACAGACAAGAAAAAAGTTACAGTCCAACTTCATTCTTGATCATGGATGCAAAAATCTTAAACAAAACAATAGCAACTATACATATAAGAAAATAATGATCAGTTGGGTTTATTTCGAGGATGGAAAATTGTTGCACCATTAGAGAATTTATAAATGTAATTTACCATATTAACAGATTAAAAGAGGAGAACAACAAGGTCATTTCAAAAGAGGTTAAAAAAGCATTCAAAAAAATTTTACAAGGCATTTATAATGGAAACAAATGGAAAACTCATAGCCAAAAAGGAATAGAACATCCTTAGCCTACCTAACAAAGGATATCTGCAAAAACATCTCCAGCAAATATAATACTCCACAGTAAAAACGTTAAAAGCATTTCCTGTAAAAATAAGGACTAAGACAAGGAGATAAGCTATTACCATTCCTGACAACTTTGTGCTGGAGTTCTAGTCATTGCAGAGCATCAAGAAAAATAACAAAGGGGTATAAGGACTGGAGAGGAAGAAACCAAATTAGCATTATTTACAAGTTAAATGATTGCCAATGTAGAAAACTCAAAGAATCTTATTTCTTATAAGAAATAAGAAAATTTATCAAGGTTGCTAGATATAGGGTCAAAGGCAAAAATTAATTGCATTTCTTTGCATTTCTATATACCAGCAAAATAGCTGCAAATTTTAACTTTAAAAGGATACCATTTACAATAGCACAAAAAATAAGATATCTAGGAATAAATCTAACACAAATATTTTTGTGTTATAAAATTAATTTTGTGTAGATATTTTTGTGTTATAAAATTTTGTGTAAATATAAAATGTATTTTGTGTAAATAAATCTAACACAAATATTTAAGAAACTTCATGTTGAATGCTATAAAATCTTACGGAAATATATGTAAAAACACCTAAGTAAATGAAGAATATACTGTATGAATGGAGAAGTTCCATCTTTTCCATTAAAGTTGTCAATCTTCCCCAAACTCTAAAGATTCAATAAAAATCCAAATAACCTCTCTAACTCAACTTTAAATGAAAGAGCAAAGTGCCAAAGATAGACAAGTTACCTCTAAAGAAGGAAGTAGAAAGTCTTGTCCTATCATATAGATCAAGACATATCATAAAGCTATAGTTAGGACTTCCCTAGTGGCGCAGCGGTTAGGAATCCGCCTGCCAGTGCAGGGGACATGGGTTTAATCCCTGGTCCAAGAAGATCCCACACGTCGTGGAGCAACTGAGCCCATGCGCCACAACTACTGAGCCTGCAATCTAGAGCCCACAAGCCACAACTGCTGAGCCTGGGCACCACACCTACTGAAGCCCGCACGCCTAGAGCCCGTGCTCTGCAACGAGAAGCCACCACAATGAGAAGCCCGCGCACCGCAACGAAGAGTAGCCCCCACTCGCCACAACTAGAGAAAGCCCGTGCGCAGCAACGAATACCCAACACAGCCAAAAATAAATAAATTAAATAAAAATTTTTAAAAAAGCTATAGTTATTAAGACAATACAGAACTTGCACAGAGATAGACAAATAACAAATAGAACAGAAAAGAGAACCCAGAAACCCAGAAACAGATATTTGGCAAAGCTAGCATTGCAGATGAGTGGAGAAAATGATGGATTTCTCAATATGAAAAGAGCTGGGATAATACATAAGGAGAAAATAAAAGAAATTAGATCCCCATCTCACCCAATATGTGTATATATATTTCTGTATGTATATACAATTACAGTTACATTAGGGACATGTAAAAAATATGTGAA